TAATTGGGGTAGAGTAATCGTATGGGGCGAAGAGGAATGTGGTAATTGTGGTAAAATATATGATTGTGAATTGGGTAGATATGTAATTGTGAATTGGGTGGGTTAAAATAATTGATAATATGGTAATTGGGGTAGATAATGTTGGATGTTGGGGTAAGGGGAATGTGGTAATTGGGGTTAAAATAATGATTGTGAATTGGGGTAGATAATGTTGGTGTAAGAGGAATGTGGTAATTGTGGTAAAATAATGATTGTGAATTGGGGTAGATAATGTAATTGTGAATTGGGTGGGTTAAAATAATTGATAATATGGTAATTGGGGTAGATAATGTTGGATATTGGGGTAAGGGAATGTGGTAATTGGGGTAAAAATATTTGATAATGTGGTAATTGGGGTAGTAATGTTGGGGTAAGAATGTTTGTAATTGGGGGAAGAGGAATGTAGTAATTGGGGTAAGAGGAATGTAAGGTTTATTGGGCATCAATACTTGGGGTAAAAATGATTGTAATTGGGGTAAGGTAGAATTGGGGTAGAATGTTTGTAAATTGGGGTAAGAGGAATGTGGTAATTGGGTAGATAATGTTGGGGTAAGGGGAAATGTGGTATGTGGTAAACATAATGATTGTGAATTGGGGTAGATAATGTTGGGGGTAAGAGGAATGTTGTAATCGGGGTAGATAATGTTGGGGTAAGAGGAATGTGGTAATTGGGGTAGAATAATGTTTGTAATTGGGGTAAGAGGAATGTGGTAATCGGGGTAAAAATAATGATTGTGAATTGGGGTAGATAATGTTGGGGTAAGGGGAATGTTGTAATTGGGGTAAAAATGATTGTGAATTGGGGTATATAATGTTGGGGTAAGAGGAATGTGGTAATCGGGGTAAAAATAATGATTGTTAATTGGGGTAGATAATGTTGGGGGAAGAGGAATGTGGTAATCGGGGTAAAAATAATGATTGTGAATTGGGGTAGATAATGTTGGGGTAAGAGGAATGTTGTAATCTGGGTAATAATAATGATTGTGAATTGGGGTATATAATGTTGGGGTAAGAGGAATGTGGTAATCGGGGTAAAAATAATGATTGTTAATTGGGGTAGATAATGTTGGGGTAAGAGGAATGTGGTAATCGGGTAAAAATAATGATTGTGAATTGGGGGTAGATAATGTTGGGGTAAGAGGAATGTTGTAATCGGGGTAATAATAATGATTGTGAATTGGGGTAGATAATGTTGGGGTAAGGGGAAATGTGGTAATTGGGTAGAATAATGTTTGTAATTGGGGTAAGAGGAATGTGGTAATCGGGGTAAAAATAATGATTGTGAATTGGGGTAGATAATGTTGGGGTATGGGGAATGTGGTAATTGGGGTAAAAATGGTTGTGAATTGGGGTATATAATGTTGGGGTAAGAGGAATGTGGTAAATCGGGGTAAAAATAATGATTGTGAATTGGGTAGATAATGTTGGGGTATGGGGAATGTAGTAATTGGGGTAAAAATGGTTGTGAATTGGGGTATATAATCGTGGGGTAAGAGGAATGTGGTAATCGGGGTAAAAATAATGATTGTGAATTGGGGTAGATAATGTAATTGTGAATTGGGTGGGTTAAAATAATTGATAATATGGTATTTGGGGTAGATAATGTTGGATGTTGGGGTAATGGGAATGTGGTAACTGGGGTAAAAATAATGATTGTAATTGGGGTAAGGTAGAATAGGGGTAGAATGTTTGTAATTGGGGGAAGAGGAATGTAGTAATGGGGGTAAGAGGAATGTGGTAATTGGGGTTAAAAATAATGATTGTGAATGGGGTAGATAATGGGGTAGATAATGTTGGGGTAAGGGGAATGTGGTAATTGGGGGTAAAAATGATTGTGAATTGGGGTATTAATGTTGGGGTAAGGGGAATGAATGGACCAAACAGAGAGAAGGAGAAACCCACACACTTCATCAGCATCCCTCTCACTGTGCCCCACATCAGAGACAGAGTCTCGCTGTTCAAATCTTCTGTACTGGACTCCTGCAGAAGAGTAAGCAACTCACGACTGACTGACTGTGATATGAAATGTGTTCTCAGGAGAGAGGGATTTGTGAAGATGTGTTCCAGCTACCTGAGAAGTTCCACCTCACTGTCGGAGTCCTGCGGATTTTCTCTGAAGAAGAAGAGGTTTGCGTCCCTACCATCATACTGTTGTTCATACTGTATATACACTTATATAGGAGAAGGCAAAAGCAGTGGTGAAGGAAGCTATTGCAATGGCCAAGTTAACAAGATTGAGAATTTGTTGTGCTCATATTTCTAGTTTGTGTCAGCAGAGTTGTACTGGGCAGTGAGTCCTAGTAATTGGGGTAAGAGGAATGTAAGGTTAATTGGGCATCAATACTTGGGGTAAAAATAATAATTGTAATTGGGTTAAGGTAGAATTGGGGTAGAATGTTTGTAATTGGGGTAAGAGGAATGTGGTAATTGGGGTAGATAATGTTGGCGTAAGGGGAATGTGGTATTTGGGGTTAAAATAATTGATAATATGGTAATTGGGGTAGATAATGTTGGATGTTGGGGTAAGGGGAATGTGGTAATTGGGGTTAAAATAATTGATAATGTGGTAATTGGGGTAAGGGGAATGTGGTAATTGGGGTTAAAATAATTGATAATGTGGTAATTGGGGTAGATAATGTTGGGGTAAGGGGAATGAGGTAATTGGGGTAAAAATAATGCTTGTAATTGGGGTAAGAGGAATGTGGTAATTGGGATAGATAATGTTGGGGTAATGGGAATGTGGTAATTGGGGTAAAAATAATGATTGTAATTGGGGTAAGGTAGAATTGGGGTAGAATGTTTGTAATTGGGGTAATAGGAATGTAGTAATTGGGGTAAGAGGAATGTAAGGTTAATTGGGCATCAATACTTGGGGTAAAAATAATGATTGTAATTGGGGTAAGGTAGAATAGGGGTAGAATGTTTGTAATTGGGGGAAGAGGAATGTAGTAATTGGGGTAAGAGGAATGTAAGGTTAATTGGGCATCAATACTTGGGGTAAAAATGATTGTAATTGGGGTAAGGTAGAATTGGGGTAGAATGTTTGTAATTGGGGTAAGAGGAATGTGGTAATTGGGTAGATAATGTTGGGGTAAGGGGAATGTGGTAATGTGGTAAAAATAATGATTGTGAATTAGGGTAGATAATGTTGGGGTAAGAGGAATGTGGTAATCGGGGTAAAAATAATGATTGTGAATTGGGGTAGATAATGTTGGGGTAAGAGGAATGTGGTAATCGGGGTAAAAATAATGATTGTTAATTGGGGTAGATAATGTTGGGGTAAGAGGAATGTGGTAATCGGGGTAAAAATAATGATTGTGAATTGGGGTAGATAATGTTGGGGTAAGAGGAATGTGGTAATCGGGGTAATAATAATGATTGTGAATTGGGGTAGATAATGTTGGGGTAAGAGGAATGTGGTAATTGGGGTAAAAATAATGATTGTGAATTGGGGTATATAATGTTGGGGTAAGAGGAATGTGGTAATCGGGGTAAAAATAATGATTGTGAATTGGGGTAGATAATGTTGGGGTAAGAGGAATGTGGTAATCGGGGTAAAAATAATGATTGTGAATTGGGGTAGATAATGGTAGATAATGTAATTGTGAATTGGGTGGGTTAAAATAATTGATAATATGGTAATTGGGGTAGATAATGTTGGATGTTGGGGTAAGGGGAATGTGGTAATTGGGGTTAAAATAATTGATAATGTGGTAATTGGGGTAAGGGGAATGGGGTAAAATACTTGATAATGTGGTAATTGGGGTAGATAATGTTGGGGTAAGGGGAATGAGGTAATTGGGGGAATGTGGTAATTGGGGTAAAAATAATGCTTGTAATTGGGGTAAGAGGAATGTGGTAATTGGGATAGATAATGTTGGGGTAAGGTAGAATAGGGGTAGAATGTTTGTAATTGGGGGAAGAGGAATGTAGTAATTGTCCAGCAAACTTCTCCAAGCTTTTGACAGCTCCCAAGATACGTTTTCGCTTCGTCTCGAATCCTTCCACTTCCAGAACATCCATGATGCACGTTTTGAACTGACAGACGTGGAGTTTGGACGGCGAGCAGGCAGCAGGGAGAGAAGAGGTAGAGAGGCTGAGAGACTGGAGCCTTCAGATGGGTTTGTGGAGGAGGAGGAGAAGGAGACAGTGTAGTTTAGTCTTCAGTTTTCTTCAAGTATATCATTGGGAGAGAAGGTCGGATCAAGAAGGGTATAGAGAGAGACACAGAGTGTCACCTGTGGCTGCCTTCCAGGGGAATAGAAGGAGATGTTGGTAACTGGAATCACTTTGACATGTACACAGTTTTGAGCTGCTTTTTCTAACCCCCTGTTTAGTAATTGAGGGTCCAGCCAAGTCAAATGTCAGAGACAGAGTCTCGCTGTTCAAATCTTCTGTACTGGACTCTGCAGAAGAGTAAGCCACTCACGACTGACTGACGTGAATGAATGTGTTCTCAGGAGAGAGGATTTGTGAAGATGTGTTCCAGAGTGTAATTGGGGTAAAATGATTGGATGGGGGTATATAATGTTGGGGTTAAGAGGAATGTGTAATCGGGGTAAATAATGATTGTGAATTGGGGTACATAATGGTAGTAATGTGATAATATGGTAATTGGGTGAGATAATGTTGGATGTTGGGGTAAGATGGGATAATTGACAGAGTCTCGCTGTTCACATCTTCTGTCATGGACTCGCAGAAGAGTAAGCAACTCACGACTGACTGACCTGTGATATGAAATGTGTTCTCAGGAACGAGAGGGATTTGTGAAGATGTGTTTCAGATGGTAATTGGGGTAAAAATGATGTGAATGTGGGGTATATAATGTTGGGGTAAGCCCACATCAGAGACAGAGTCTCGTCTGTTCAAATCTTCTGTACTGGACTCCTGCAGAAGAGTAAGCAACTCACGACTGACTGACTGTGATATGAAATGTGTTCTCAGGAGAGAGGGATTTGTGAAGATGTGTTCCAGCTACCTGAGAAGTTCCACCTCACTGTCGGAGTCCTGCGGATTTTCTCTGAAGAAGAAGAGGTTTGCGTCCCTACCATCATACTGTTGTTCATACTGTATATACACTTATATAGGAGAAGGAAAAAGCAGTGGTGAAGGAAGCTATTGCAATGGCCAAGTTAACAAGATTGAGAATTTGTTGTGCTCATAGCCCTTCTAGTTTGTGTCAGCAGAGTTGTACTGGGCAGTGAGTCCTAGTAATTGGGGTAAGAGGAATGTAAGGTTAATTGGGCATCAATACTTGGGGTAAAAATAATAATTGTAATTGGGTTAAGGTAGAATGTTTGTAATTGGGGTAAGAGGAATGTGGTAATTGGGGTAGATAATGTTGGCGTAAGGGGAATGTGGTATTTGGGGTTAAAATAATTGATAATATGGTAATTGGGGTAGATAATGTTGGATGTTGGGGTAAGGGAATGTGGTAATTGGGGTTAAAATAATGATTGTAATGGGGTAAATTGGGGTAAGGGGAATGTGGTAATGGGGTAAAATAATTGATAATGTGGTAATTGGGGTAGATAATGTTGGGGTAAGGGTGAATGAGGAATTGGGGTAAAATAATGCTTGTAAGGGTAAGAGGAATGTGGTAATTGGGATAATAATGATTGTGAATTGGGGTAGATAATGTTGGGGTAAGAGGAATGATGCGTAAATTGTGGGTGAGAATAGGGATAGTTGTGCATGGGGAGATAGAAGAATGTGGTTATTGGAGTAAAAATGATTGTGAATTGGCAAAGCATTAACGATAGTTGGGGTCGTCTCTCCTTCTGCTCATGTGCCTACAAAAAATGTGAAATCGTTGACACCCTTGTATAGGGAGAACAGCGAAATTTGGGTGAGATAGGGATAGGTGCAGTGAGATAGAAGACATTACCATTCCACACTCCAACTTTAGTCAAAGCATTAACGATAGTTGGGGTCGTCTCTCCTTCTGCTCATGTGCCTACAAAAAATGTGAAATCGTTGACACCTACCCTTGTATAGGGAGAACAGCGAAATTTGGGTGAGATAGGGATAGGTGCAGTGAGATAGAAGACATTATCATTCCACACTCCATCTTTAGTCAAAGCATTAAGGATAGTTGGGTCGTCTCTCCTTCTGCTCATGTGCCTACAAAAAAATCGGGGTAAAAATAATGATTGTTAATTGGGGTAGATAATGTTGGGGTCAGAGGAATGTGGTAATCGGGGTAAAAATAATGATTGTGAATTGGGGTAGATAATGTTGGGGTAAGAGGAATGTTGTAATCGGGGTAATAATAATGATTGTGAATTGGGGTAGATAATGTTGGGGTAAGAGGAATGTGGTAATTGGGGTAGAATAATGTTTGTAATTGGGGTAAGAGGAATGTGGTAATCGGGGTAAAAATAATGATTGTGAATTGGGGTAGATAATGTTGGGGTAAGGGGAATGTGGTAATTGGGGTAAAAATGATTGTGAATTGGGGTATATAATGTTGGGGTAAGAGGAATGTGGTAATCGGGGTAAAAATAATGATTGTGAATTGGGGTAGATAATGTTGGGGTAAGAGGAATGTGGTAATCGGGGTAAAAATAATGATTGTGAATTGGGGTAGATAATGGTAGATAATGTAATTGTGAATTGGGTGGGTTAAAATAATGATATTGGTAATTGGGGTAGATAATGTTGGATGTTGGGGTAAGGGGAATGTGGTAATTGGGGTTAAAATAATGATGTGGAGATTAGGGGTAGGGGAAGTGGAATGGGGGTAAAACATAATTATAGATGTCGTACTTGGGGTAGATAATGTTGGGGACAGGGGAATGAGGTTCAAATCTGGGGGTATGTGGACTCCTGCAAAGAGTAAGCAACTCACGACTGACTGACTGTGATATGAAATGTGTTCTCAGGAGAGAGGGATTTGTGAAGATGTGTTCCAGCTACCTGAGAAGTTCCACCTCACTGTCGGAGTCCTGCGGATTTTCTCTGAAGAAGAAGAGGTTTGCGTCCCTACCATCATACTGTTGTTCATACTGTATATACACTTATATAGGAGAAGGAAAAAGCAGTGGTGAAGGAAGCTATTGCAATGGCCAAGTTAACAAGATTGAGAATTTGTTGTGCTCATAGCCCTTCTAGTTTGTGTCAGCAGAGTTGTACTGGGCAGTGAGTCCTAGTAATTGGGGTAAGAGGAATGTAAGGTTAATTGGGCATCAATACTTGGGGTAAAAATAATAATTGTAATTGGGTTAAGGTAGAATGTTTGTAATTGGGGTAAGAGGAATGTGGTAATTGGGGTAGATAATGTTGGCGTAAGGGGAATGTGGTATTTGGGGTTAAAATAATTGATAATATGGTAATTGGGGTAGATAATGTTGGATGTTGGGGTAAGGGGAATGTGGTAATTGGGGTTAAAATAATTGATAATGTGGTAATTGGGGTAAGGGGAATGTGGTAATTGGGGTTAAAATAATTGATAATGTGGTAATTGGGGTAGATAATGTTGGGGTAAGGGGAATGAGGTAATTGGGGTAAAAATAATGCTTGTAATTGGGATAAGAGGAATGTGGTAATTGGGATAGATAATGATTGTGAATTGGGGTAGATAATGTTGGGGTAAGAGGAATGTGGTAATTGGGGTAGAATAATGTGAATGGGGTGTAATTGGGGTAAGAGGAATGTGGTAATCGGGGGTAAAAATAATGCTTGTGAAATTGGGGTAGATCATGTTGGGGGAAGAGGAATGTGGTAATCGGGTATAAAATAATGAGTGTGTAATGGGGTAGGGTAGCTAATGTAATGTGAATGGGTGGGTTAAAATCAATTCGATTAATATGGTTGTAATTGGTGGGTAGACCATGTTGGATGTATGGGGTAAGGGGAATGTGGTAATGGGTGGGTTAAAATAATTGGTAATGGGGTGGTAAGGGAATGTGGATAATTGGGTGTTGTAAATATGATGGTGAATTGGGGTAGATAATGTTGGGGTGAAAGGGAAGTATGTGAAGGATCGTGGTAATCGTGGTAAAAATAATGATGGAATGGGGTGGTAGATAATGTAATTGTGATTGGGTGGTGGTTAATTTTATAATAGTGACTATGGTAATCTGGGGTCAGAGGTAGCTAAGTTGGATGTTGGGGTAGGTATGGTAAGGGGAATGGGTACTGTTGTTAAAAATAATGGGGCTAATGACGGGAATGTGTGGTAATTGGGTAAAGGTTTAAAATAAAGTGCATAATGTGGTAATTGGGTAGATAATGTGGGGTAGGGGAATGAGGAATCGAGGGACGGGATGATGTGCGTTATAGTGCTGGTTATTAAATACTAATGCTGTAATTGGGGTATATAAGAGGACTGTGGCAATTGGGATAGATAATTGTTGGGGTAAGGTCGAATAGGGGTTAGATTGTTGGTAATTGGGGGAAAGAGGAATGTGTAATTGGGGGAAGATGAATGTGGTAATGGGGTAAAGGTGGAAAAATAAGCTGTGAATTGGGGTGGGTAGGGGTAGATAATGTTGGGAGTAAGGGAAGTGAGTTAATTGGCGGTGGTTAAAAATGATTTGTGAATTGGGGTAGGTGGGTATATAAGTGGGGGTAGGAATGTGGTAATTGGGGTAAAATAATGATTGGAATTGGGGTAGATTTAAATGTTGGGGTAAGAGGAATGTGGTAATGGGGGGTATTAAAAGGGAAAAAATAATGATTGTGGAATGGGGTGGTAGATAATGGTAGATAATGTACTGTGATTGGGGTATTATATAATGATATAAGGTTATCCACCCCAATTACAACAGTATCAATTATTGAAACCACAAAGAGCAGGAGGGAGAGAGGTGAGAACAGCGGAAAAACAAACCGAGACAGCG